CTCTAAAATACTGTATTCCAGATTTTCTGTTTCCATCGTCCTTTTCTTTGTCGGCGATGATCATTCCTAAATCATTTATCTTCGACAAGGCATGTAAGACCCTCAATTCTCGATTCTCAATAAGAGAACCTCTAAACTACATACAACTTACTCGACCCTCACCCTCTAGGCCGCGATCCATGAGGCCAATCATTTCGAGGTTCCAGACGACTTCAGCTCTTGATGATGACAAATTGAGGCCCTCTCCTTGACCTTAGCAACACTGATGCCTCCAACACTTGAATTATCACTTTAAAACATTAGCATAAAGCATCTTCTTCATGATTGACGGCAAATTTGACTATAGTTTCGTTTTACCCTAAAGCTTTGGTTTTCACTCGTTTGCGCAACTTCGCAGATTGTATTTTGCGGTCCCTCTGTCCTTGTTCACTGTCATTGTCCCTCCCTTCACCTACACAACTTGGTTTCCGGCCTTATCCTCAGACAACCTCAGTGGACAGAACCATCTTTTGCAATGTTGAGGTAACAACATTTCGTTGTTCAATTCTGAACTGGTAAATTCCAAAACGATCGGTCTATCTTGAATATGAAGTCAGGGAATTTCTTACCTCATTGCCGCAAAGAGGTTCACTCTTTCAAAGTGATTTGAGATTCCGATCTCGATTTACGATTTAACCTTCTTGGAATCAGTTCCGAGTGAAATTCAACGGCGTCTAAAGGCCTTCAAAAAATTTGCTTAAGATAATTTTAAAATCTCTCATATGAAGAATTTCATATTCTGTAAGAAAGTGCATTATGATTACATTCGTTAGTTAATCCCACTAGAAGAGGACACCTGCTTCATGTTGTTCTGTAGCTGTGTTTTGCTTTAATACGACCACGAGGCATCCTTATACATTTTGGTTACAACCGGCTGAGTTTACATCCATCATACTAGTTGAAAAACCTCCCCATTATTGCCGAAGCTTCAAATCGGCACACACACACACACACAGAAATATATACATTCTCAGGTATAAGTGCCAGTATTAATATGAAAAAGACTCAACTAAAACATTCTTCAAGTGAAAATATGAAGACCAGGGTGATGTGGTCTTTTGAATGGTCGCGGTTTTCTTTCGTTGTATTTAAGTTGTTTGACCTTATTTTCGAAACTTGGTCATATTGGCAGGAAGACCTAGAGGAACGCACCCTGTCTGGAGTCCATAGTAGACATAATCATTTCCAGATCAGGACAGTGAGAATGTACGAAGTCCACGGTCTGACTCTGGAGAGGATCATGCATACAATGGACTGCGGACTAGGTGTGCTCATCCAAGTCATCCTGCCAGTATGACCAAGTTCAGAAAACAAGATCAAACAACTTCTATAAAACATTCTTTATCTATTTTTTTTCTTAGATAATATATTTTATTCTTTAGCTATGAGTACACTTTTCATGTAGGATATATACAGCCTTTAGTGAAAAGCCGGTGAGTTTTCGTGATTGTGAAAAGGATGTCCGATTCTTCAGATGTCCATCATATGACAGATGAAAGGTTAGGACGATCTTACTGGATTCGACGGAGACTGCCTTAGGTACAGCATCATCGAAAAAGTTTTAGTATTTATATATATATATATATGATATACTGGTAGTGTTGAAAATCAACTTATGAACGAAAAATAAGTTGTGTGGTCGATTTCTATAGCAAAATGCAACGAGATTATACGCCGCATAACACCAACCCGGGTTCGAGTCCCGCTGGGGGTGCTGATGAGATAAGATCAGGCGAGGTCGAGATTGTGGTCCACTCTGTCCGGGATGAGAAGACGTCTTAAGAAAGCAGGCCTTGTGAAATACAATGGGAATGTAAAGTCTATTTTTAGGAATGTGAGAAATTTCAACTACCCTCATCACCTTGAAATTCATAGTTACAGTAATGCTAACTAGCTGGACGGCTGGACAAGATGGATTTGCCGTCGTCTTCAGGTAGAACCAACCTTAGAATTTTTCCATCCAACAATTTCGCTCAACATACAAATGAAATCAACACTAGTGGTAGCATGTCGAGAGTATAGGCTGCACTACCAGAACCCGGGTTCGAGTCTTGTTGGGGGAGCTGGAGGGACGAGGAGGCGAGGTCGGAGGTATAGTTTAATCCAGACTGGATGAGAATATATGCGAAGAAAAGTTGGGTTTCGAGGAATCTCTGGTTTCATAATTGTTGAGCTTGCCTCCATTTCGAGTGAAAGTGTTGGGTGAAGAAATTCGAAGGTCGGTGCCACCAGAAGACGACAACCGATTCCTTTTGACCAGCTGTCGATTGGCTTTACCGGAACATTCATGCTGACGCTGTTTCCGAGGCAATCTCATTCGATTCCGGTGAAAAGGTGCTAAGCCTTCGTCCTTCATATGACGAATATCATCGGAGCGAGGTAACAT